GGCCACATAACCTTAGATTTTTGTTCTTGCCTTTTCTAAAGGTTCAGTTACTGTGCTTTTAAAAGAAAGGAACCCGATACCTACTTCCCAAATAGGCAATATAGTGAAACACACAAAAGTGCAGCACATAAAAATACAGCAATGGCTAATATAGTTTTAATTCATTTATCTGGTCAAAAATTACTTCTATCATAATTCTGAAGAAAATTGATTGCAATAGCAAAAATCATAAAATCTTAAAAAACATTAGGATATGTACCCTGCTACTTCAGTTTTTTTTTTCTTTTTTTTTCTCATTTATTTATTTTATTGCATTTTAGGTTTTGGGGTACATGTGAAGAACATGCAAGATTATTGCATAGGTACACACGTGGCAGTGTGATTTGCTGCCTTCCTCCCCATCACCTACATCTGGCATCTCTCCCCTTGCTGTCTCTCCCCAGCTCCCCACCCCCCACCGTCCCTCCCCTATTTCCCGCCAACTGACGTCAGTACGTGATGCTCCCCTCCCTGTGTCCATGTGTTCTCATTGTTCAACACCCACCTATGAGTGAGAACATGCGGTGTTTGATCTTCTGCTCTTGTGTCAGTTTGCTGAGAATGATGGTTTCCAGGTTCGACCATGTCCCTACAAAGGACAGAAACTCATCGTTTTTGATGGCTGCGTAATATTCTATGGTGTATATGTGCCACATTTTCCCTATCCAGCCTATCGTTGATGGGCATTTGGGTTGGTTCCAGGTCTTTGCTATTGTAAACAGTGCTGCAATGAACATTCGTGTGCATGTGTCCTTATAGTAGAACGATTTGTAATCCTTTGGATATATACCCAGTAATGGGATTGCTGGGTCAAATCGAATTTCTATTTCTAGGTCCTTGAGGAATCGCCATACTGTCTTCCACAATGGTTGAACTAATTTACACTCCCACCAACAGTGCAAAAGTGTTCCTATTTCTCCACATCCTCTCCAGCATCTGTTGTCTCCAGTTCAGTTTTTTTTATTATTTCCTTTAATTATCACAAAAATCCAATGAATTGATCAAGTATATTATTACATCTATAAAATATTCAACTTATAAGAGCTTAAGTATCTAGTATTAGCAATGAAGATAGAAATTTGAACCCTGATCTGTCTGACTATAAGTCAGTCTTATAGTATTATTTTTCTTACTACTAAAACTGGAATAGTAGTAAGACTCACAGATCTGTGAATGTGTGCGAAGTGAATGAATGAATGTACAATTAGACAAAACATTTTATAAAACCCCATGGTGAAGGGTCAGGCACAAAGTATGCATTCTCCTCTGGCTTTTCCCTGACAGATTTTTAAAAATTACCCATCTGAGTCTTAAACTTGTTATCTTCGGAGAGGGACTAATACATGCTTTGCTATGTTGAAATGAGGAGTACTTGTCATAATGTATTACATGAAAGTTCCCCATGATGTATAGTGTTTATGTATTTATGCATATATAATGTATGCCCACAATTTATGTAAAAGTCCTTTATTAAAGTTTTTACAGCTTTCAGTTTATAACATACTCTAACAATATTTTCTACAACTATAATTAATAATTCATGTTACTTATTATTTTTCATCAATAGACATTAAACATCAAGCTTATATATAAGCTATTTTCTTGCTTTTCTTCAACTGGCACTTCTAGAATGAATTTTTAATAAAGAAAAAAATGATAGCTCCATCCTGTGCTAGGTGTGAACTGCATTACCAAATGACTGTGACACAGGGATATCTTTACTTTGGCTTTTAAGTAGTAGTTAGAGTTTTAAAATCTTTAGTACCAAAGAATAAATTTGAGTTTATGAGAAATATTATTATCAACCTGAATCCAAACCAATTAGATAGCATTTGACATTGAATTTCTCAAAATATGAGGTTTGTGTATGTGTGTGTGTCACAAATATTGGATACTGAGTCGACATAGTCAAATTAGGCTTACCTCTGGGCATGTTGGAACTCAAAATCTACAGTCAAATACTAGATGAATGAGAACATGAAGGGGTAAGTGCTGTAAATATACAAAATAAATATTCAATAGGGAAAAATCCACATATTTAGAGATTTTGAATCTTCAGCAAAGACACCAATAAGGTTAACGAATTGTTTGAAAATGCATCCGATAAACATTAGAATGATTCCTTTCTAAAGAATAGTTAGGGATTGTTTTAGTATAAATTGCTGAGGGAATACATTATAAAGCTGCTTTGTGCATTAAGTAGAATAACTTCTAAAAATATTAAGCAAGATTCTTGCACTTAGAGTAAATTATTAGGCACAAAACTAAGAGAAACTTGAGTCTATTAGAATTCAGGCCATTTTGATTTTAAGAATTTCTGCAATTATTCTCTAAGTAACAGTGACAACTTAAAGACTAATCACTACTTATTTATATTTCTTGACATTTTATGACATACATTAATGCCAAATTTTTCATTTTAAGTAAAATTTCTTTTTTTCACACATAAAAAGGACAAAAAACATAACTACATGTATCCATAAATTATCCAAACATGCACACTTGTGAAACTTCAAAAGAAGTCAATGCATAAAATATTTTCAGGGCCTCAGACACCCCTCATATTCCTTCAATTACTATTCCCTCTTTCTATCCCTGCCAAAAACCCTAATGCCTATAATTTAACAATGAAAGTTAATTTGCCAGTTTTTAAAAAACTTTATATAAAGGATTGTTTTTGTTGATGTTGGAGATTGAGTTATGCTTTTCTCTCAGGTACATGTCAAAAAGTCAAATTATTGCATTATAAGTAATACATATGTTCAAATACAGAAGATAATTCCAAAAGATTCTACAAAGTTTTGACAGTCATTTTGGAACGTTTTCACGTGCTACCACCGTACAAGGACAAATAATCCGCTATAGCGTATTAAGCTACGTATTTTAATTAGGAAACAGTTTGAAAACTAGTGCTATGCATTCATTCTTCACACTAAGTAAAATTCCTCACTAAGTAAAATTCCTTATTCCTCACACTAGTGCTATGCATTCATTCCTCACGCTGAGTATCACAAGACAAACTAAACTATAATGCAGTCTGATATTTCAAATCAATGAAGTCCTTCACATGTTATCTGCAAAGTGTGTAACTTCCTAACTTGGTATATTTTTTGCTTAGATCCAACTATTCTGGGCATGTGTTTTTCCTTTTGAACTAAATTAGCTACATCAGGAAATGCACATTTGCTAGAATCTACTTCTAGTTTCTCATTTTGCATCCTTTTTTATTTGTTTGCTTGCTCTCTGTTAATATCCAACGTAATTTTCATAGACATGGATGCTTTTCTTCCATCTATAATTACTTTTCCTATCTTGGGCATGCAGATTACTAAATGCCTCATTATGTCAGATTATCTACCATAGATACTGTCAAGTTTCACTTCTAAGGAAAGTACAAGCTGAAATGACTTTTCTTTGATTGTTTCTCAAGCGTAAACTGGCTGCACACTGATATCAATTAAAAAGATATCCATATACCTATAGAAAGCAAGATATAGGATCATTTGTTTATTTTTTTGTCATCCATCACATACAAATCAAGGTAAGGTTCATTTATTTTAGGGGCTTTTCCATTTTCAGTGATCAAAATTCTGAGTATTTTCTTTTTTTTTTTTTTTGAGACGAAGTTTCGCTCTTGTTACCCAGGCTGGAGTGCAATGGCGCAATCTCGGCTGACCGCAACCTCCGCCTCCTGGGTTCAAGCAATTCTCCTGCCTCAGCCTCCTGAGTAGCTGGGACTACAGGCATGCGCCACCATGCCCAGCTAATTTTTTTTTTGTAGTTTTAGTAGAGACGGGGTTTCACCATGTTGACCAGGATGGTCTCGATCTCTTGACCTCGTGATCCACCCGCCTCGGCCTCCCAAAGTGCTGGGATTACAGGCTTGAGCCACCGCGCCCGGCCCTGAGTATTTTCAAAATAAAAAGCAGAGACAGGCTTTCTGAAAGAAAATAGTATTTATTTGGGAACAAGGTATTGCCATTGGAATATGTGTGCCTTAGTAAGCTATATGAGTATTCATGAAGGTAATAGGACAAAGGATATTAAAGAGAAAATTAGGATGATTACATAATTGTTTTGAAATAATTATTCTTGATTACAAGAATCAATAACAAGGGTGACACTATTCTGACACTGGGCAGGGGATTGCTTCAAAAATGTCTGCAGTAATAGTTTTTGTGTAAGGTTGTGATAGCCTTTGTACAAATGTTTTTTGCAGAATCTTTGGTGATAGTTTCATTGTCATGCATTAATGCAGGAGTAACCCTCTCTTTATAGCTTTCCCCAGCTATATTTGTCAGAATTTTTGTTTTTCTGTTCCTGCTTTTCTGTAACACATGTGACTTCATTTTGATTTGACAACCTTAGCACTTGTTTATATCACTTAATTTTTCTGGATCTTTCAATCATTTTACCATATGAATTTTACCAACCCACATATCTAAGAGTTTCCAATATGAATTTAGGCATAAACTCAAAGGCTTCTACCAGAATTTTAGGTCTTCTATGTTTATATCTAATTTATTATGATTGTGTTCTTCTCATACTTCTAATGTCTGGTTGTCTTTGCTCTCCACAGAAGGTTGGATAGTAGCAATGAATTCTGTCTACCAACGCCTGTCAAAACATGAGTCACTTCTTTTCTTCTTGTCTTTGTTTTTATATTATTCTTGAAATTTTATTTAAATCGTTTTTCTGACTTTGATTTCTTTGAGACAATAAATTTTTTGTTCAATTACTAGCTATTTCTGCAATTCCTAAATCTTCCTTTCTTAACCATCACACACGTCAATTGTTGAAGACTTGCCACCACCAAGTTCCTGTGACACTCAAAGTGAGCACATAGGGTACCTATAAGAAACAGCACACCCAAAGCCTCTATAAAATGTAATTTTGAGTCATCCCATGAAGTGCATGTCCCTGGGCAATAACCATTTTTTATCTTTCTCTTGCTTTTCTAGGAGTACTTCTTATTACTATAACCTAAACTTGAATCTACTGCTGACAGAGAGTGTAAGAAATGTAATTTCTAAATTTTTAGCAACTGTGATTCTTGAGTGCAGAAAAGGGAGTAGGGTTTATGGAGAGCAAAAGAGCAGAGGTATCTCCTCCCATAATAATCTATAGTGGTCCTTCTAGCTGTAGTTAACTTTTGAATACCACAAGAACAATATCATGCTTTCATCCAACAGTGTGTAGCTAACTGTCTCTTACACTTAGATGTGTTCATCCTGTCCACACAAAAGTAAATGTAAGGTTTGATAAGTCACCATATCTGTCTTTTTGCTGCTAATTTATTTTTAATTCATATAATAATTCTCTTCATATATACTTAATAAATATTCCCAAACTTCATTTTATTTAGTAGAGATTAGCTAGGAGATCAGTGCTTCCTCATAGAACAATTGTGTGTTGTGTGTGTGTGTGTGAGAGTGTGTGTGTGTGTGTCTGTGTGTGTGTGTGTGTGTGTGTATAAACAAAATTTTCACCTTGAGGACAATGGGGAAAGCTGATGTCTAATTCTAGTTGAGCCTCTTGAAAGTATTCTGGCTCTAATAACTACAGCTTAGGCCAGGCGTTATTGGTCAAGCCTGTAATCCCAGGACTTTGGAGGTCAATGTGGTCAGATCATCTGAGGTCAGGAGTTTCAGACCAGCCTGGCCAACATGGCAAAACCCGGTCTCTACTAAAAATATAAAATTTATCCAAACATGGAGGCAGGTGCCTGTAATCCCAGCTATTCCAGAGGCTGAGGCAGGAGAATAGCTTGAACCTGGGAGGCGGAGGTGGCAGTGAGCTGAGATTATGCCACTGCACTCCAGCCTGGGCAACAGAGTGAGATTCCATCTCAAAAA